TCTATAGATCCAAAAATGTTCTATCTCACACCGTTTTTTTTTTGGGCACTCAAAAAGTGAGGACACTTTAGAATCGATCAGTGTGTCCACCCATTTATCCGATAACTATCGAAAGGCTAAGCCGATTCTCATGAAACTTTCTACACAAATCAGTCTGATCAAGTTCTCGATCGAGTTCGAAGATGAACCTAATTGAACTAGCCATTCCCGAGTTATTACAAAAATACTGACATTTCCCTGTGATTTTTATAAACACTTTTTGCAGTACACATAATTCTCGGATAAAATATGGAGTTTCCACATTTATTTCTGATGTAATCTATTTTGTATACTTCAGCTCAAACGTTTATTTTTCATCCCGAACGTTTGTACAGATGCGTTGAATTAAATCTATAGTTTATAATTAAATATATAAATTAAAACAGATTTTTTGTGTTCACTAGCTCAAAGATTTATTTCTGGTCTCTAACGTTCGTGAAAATACTTTTAAATGTATCTATTGTTCGTTAATTAAATAGCTTGATGGAAAAAGTGTTTTTTTCTATTATGCAGCTCAAAGTTTTAATTCTCATCTTAAATGTTCGTGAAAACGTATTAAAAAGCATATTTTTTTGCGTTTCTGTTTTCTCTTGCTCAATAGTTCAGTTTTCATCTATATTATTTTTTGATTGATTTCCTAACCATCTTGAGGGCGGGTGTGAGTGGGCCCACCCACACCCTCAATCTAAAATTTTCTATTGAGCGCGGTGAGTCTTGTCTCTCGTTCAATGACTCTTAAGTACTTCACTACAGATTTTGACTCGTCAAAAGTCTTCCGTATCTATAATACGTTTTATTACGCTCAAGCACTAAGCATTAGTCTGGGAAACAGGTTATTTGCATTCATGTCTAAATTCTAGAGATTTCAATTATTAGGGAATTTAGTTTTATCAAAAACGGGCACTTAACTCTTCACTCTAGCTCTCAGATTCTATTCACAGATATCGTCTCCTATTATAGTTACTTACTGGTAGTTGAATATGCGAGCAGGAATAGTGTTTCTCTTATTTGTGGAGCTGCTTTTTATATAGTAGATGTGAAAAAAATAGACGCTATTGTTGATCTTTCTCCGATGAAGGAAGAACAGTGTTTCTCTTCTTTTACTGCTTCAATCCAACTCAGTAAAATTGTGTAAACAGAAAAGTAACTGCAGTGTTTATAAAAAGACGAGAGAGTGAAAAGTCACCCGACAAAGGGGAAAAGAAAAATCAGTAAATTGACGAGCGGAGAAATACTCAATAAGAAGAGGGAGAGAAAATTCTAAGCAAACGGAGTAGAAAAAACTTTGCAAATAGACAAGAGTGAAAAATCTATAAGGGGAAGCGGAGAGAGAAAACTAACTATTCTTGGACGCTAAAAAATCAAACTGCTAAGAGGCATTGAAAGTGTGCCGTTCTCCAGTCACATATCAGATTTTTCTGTGCTAATCAGAGTAGCTGAGGATGTGGGTGCATCTAAAGTATCACTCACCATCTTGAGGGTGTATGTTTGTTATAATATAATAAATACTTATCCCACACCCTCAAGATATATCTGTGGAAAAAAATAGACGTCATGAACAAGGGGTGTGGGTGTGCAAGTGGGCATTATGTTTCATTCATATCCACACCTACACCCACACCCTGTGATGTACTTCCTTCTATAAATCGGATTCGTCAAAGTAGCATCAGATTGATTGAAAAAGAGGAACAAAACGATTTTTTTCCTCTGACAATATTGTATCAGAGAAAAATTAGGTGGTAATTGCATATTACTTTTTCTGTAAAGTAAGCACACTACGGAAACCAACATTTTATATTTCTCTATTTACTCTTCAAAAATAACAAGATATAATATAAGCGACGGTCGGCGCTGATGAAAACTTCTATTTATTAGAAAACGCATAATGTGTTGTAGAAGATGAAGCAGATGACATACTCCTTTTCTATTACCTCCTTCTTCTATTCATTCTCCTATTTGCCAAAGAGAAACATTTCCTCATTTAAAGAAAGAATAAGAAAGTGTTTGTTTATTTTTTACTACAATATTTTTTTTGCAGTTGTTTCATTTCAAGAACTAACATAGTGGTGGAAGAACGATTCTTTCACATTAGTATGAAGCAAAAAGGTGAAATTAAGTTTATCTGTATAGCGAGAGTACTGAAAAGCGTTTTGAAAGAAAACAAAACCAGGATTAGTTTTGTAAAGACGGGGTGTGGGTGTGGATATGAATGTGCATGTGAGTGGATTCGAAAATTACCCACATCCGCACCAACACTCTTACTGGCAGTTGAACGTGTGAGAAGGAATACTGTTTATCTTATGTGTGAAGCTGTTTTTATATCTCTAGATGTGAAAAAATGGAAACAACTGTTGATTTTTTTCCGATGAAGCGGCTGTTGATTTTTCTCCGATAACGCGAGAACAGTCATTCTCTTCTTGTACTACTTCAAGTCAACTTAATAGAATTGTGTAAACAAAGAAGTAACTGCAGCGTCTACAAACAAATGAGAGATTGAGGGCGTGAGATATAGTTATACTACTCAAACCCACATCCGAACTTGGAAATAATGAAACATTTCAGATGGAAGTAGACTTCATGTTATAATATAATCTTGAGGTACACATGATAAAAATTCAGAAGAAAATGCACTTCAGGTTACAAATAAGCATTGTCATCTTGAACTTATGAATGAAAATGAAGCAAAGATTTATTATTTAAAATAGATTTCAAGATTTTTATATTAATTTAATATGAAAGGAGAAGATGAATGTCTTTTCTTCAGTTATATCTACATTCACCCTCTTGCGTCTTTCTCTATACATATAATATCAATTTAAAAAGCCATAGTTCTATTCATTTGTGTTTCATTAGGTATAATAATATTTGATTGTCTATTTAATTTTTTCATTATTGATGTTTTAAGTGGATCTGTAAATTGTAATAAAACAATCATGACACAAGTTAACGATATATTAATAAAAATATAAGCGATACGAAAATGATATTTTGGTGGCGAAGTAAAAAATGATATTAAAATAAATACCGCATAAGGAAAACCAAATGTAAAAACAATCATTATTAATGTCATTGTACGTCGAACCATTTTTAATTCGCGTTGAGCACGAAATAAAATATTTACTGGCATAACACGTTGATTGATTTTTCTTACATATTGAATTAATTTAAAATAAATCAATATAATTAATAATATAGGAATACCATAGACACAAATTGCTGCAAAATTTATCGAGAATGAAAGTCGAAGAGGTAATTGACAAATTTGATTATCAATATTATAGATAATCCCACCAGTAAATACAAATAATAAAGGAAATATAAATGCATATAACCATGTTATAATAATAAATATGAATTGAGTTCGTGGTAACTGCCAAAACAAACGTACAGGATAAATAACAGTCACATAACGATGAAACGCTTGTAGAAGAAATGAATAATCAAGAACAGCACATAAAGCATAAGTTAAATAACCTCGAAATATACAAAATATATCTTGATATTGATTTGATTGAATATCACGTTGTAATGTAAATATAGATATCCACAGTATATCACTTGCACATAGAAGTACAGCTAAACATGAATTTGCAACGAGCATCATAGGAACTGTATGACATGTTTTATCAAATATGATAATAATTAGAAAAAATATGGTTAAACTAATGACTATAGTAAGACATATAATATTAATAATATCGAGAGGAATAAACCATGATTCAATATTTATAGTAGATGAATTCGATATAGATGTAAAATTAGTTGAATTCATTTTTAAGAAAGACGTATATGTAATGTGATGTTGTCAAAAATTTAGCTGTTGAGTAGATTATATGTAAGATTTTTAATAATCATTATTTCTTTTCCTCTTCTTTCTAACCTATAGAATTTTTTCTTAAAATATATTCTTTTTTTTGTATTGAAAATGATGGAAGTTAATTAAATAATATACGCATTAGTTGTCTGTAATTATTAAGTAGTACTCGTGCTGAGTGAAGAAAAAACTAATGTATCCTAGTATTCATATGGTAAATATTAGTAGTGGTCGAAGGAAAATCGAGTTTTATTTTTCGAAATACTTAACATATTAGTAAAATGTTTCACAAGAGATAATATTTAAAATCTATCTATTTATATCTTATACGTGACATTATGAAAGGATGTAAAAAAAAGCATTCTTTAGACATCTTTGTACCTCAGAGAACGAAGAAATGCATTAGATAATAAAAAAAAAATGTTTCCGTTCATTATGAACTGATGAGTTTTTTTTTGGAATGGCTAAATATATCATGTTCTTTATGAAAATTGACAAGAGATGTTCACGTCATTAATGATGGTAACGGTGCTGTGATCAAAGTCTACAATAAAATAGTATCCTTGAAATGCTGACTGGTTTTTATAATTAATTATCCTCATTGAAATTTTAAACTAATGCAATCGAATATATATACGTGTGTAAAGCCGACAGAATAAAAATATATTAGAAAAAAAATGAATTCACAAAGGAAACGAGAATGTATGCGAAGAGAAGCAAAATATAATGTAAGCAAAGAAATTAGGGGTGATTAGTATAAGTGCAAAAGAAAAAAGGTGAATAGGGTATGGGTGTGGGTGGGTGTGAAGATTACATTCATTTCATTCACTCTCGTCATCCTCCTTTCTAAATACTATGATTCATAATATAGCATACAATCCAAATACACCATGTTTACGCTTACTTATAAATACAATACGTTGTCGTTATTCTTGTGTATTTTAAAATTTGTCTTCTTTTAAACAGTGGCAAAGCAAGAAACAAAAGACAGGTGTGAAACCTGTAATAATAACTTCAACATTACCAATCTCAAAGTGTTGTTTATCTTTTGCTTTGGTTACTCTCACCGTTATTTTTATTTTATATGCGCGATGATAACAAATTGTGATAGTGTCCCTAACACGTTTCAATTCTTTTCACTACAAAGATGTATGCACTAAACAACAACTATTGTCTTCAATTGGTGCGCGATGCAAATCAATATTTAAATATTGAACTTCATCACAATGGAACATTGTCACGAATCGTGTCATTGAATAATGAACAATGTTCGACGTTGACTCATCGTCTATGTGAGACAATCAATGAATTTGATGCATTGATGGTTGATCTTCTTGAGACATCAATATCAAATATTCGTGTAACAGTCGATGAACATCTTGAAATATCGTTTCCAGTACGTTTTGGTAGTCGTAATTATGAAAAATTTTGGTCATTTACAGTTGAACTAAGACATTTATCAATGTTTGAAACGAATACAACAGATGAAATCTCACTTGATCCATCCAATTGGAATGATTTACGATTGTTAGGACATGAAATTATGGACAACATGATCGACTATACTCGCGATATTCGCCTAAGACCGCCTTGGCGTCCAATCCCTCTCGCAATCAAACAAACTATTCTTAATAGTGATTTTCCACTACAAGGTCAATCACCATGGGAAGTTTATGATGAAATTTGCTCGACTTTTCTTCCTTATAATGTCGGTAATATTCATCCTTTTTTTTGGGGTCATGTTTACGGCGCCGGTTCAACGATTGGAGCTCTAGCTGAATTTATTACTGGAACAGTCAATACAATGTCATGGGGTGGTCAACAATCAAGTATCTATTTGGAACGTAAAGTTTTGTCTTGGCTCAAACAATTAATAGGTTTTCCGAATGATGAGACAAGTTCAGGAATTCTCGTAAGTGGCACATCCGTAGCTACAATCATCGCTTTGGCGGTAGCACGAAAAAAATTCCATGAACGGACTATGATTATCTACTGTTCGAAAGATACACACAGTTGTATTACCCGTGCTGCCAATCTGCTCAATATCAATAAAGAAAATATCGTGTATGTTTCAACAAATGAACAACGACAGATCGATTTACAGGTTAGTTGAAATCACACATCACACTTTCAAATCTACGTCATTCTTTAGGCATTAGAAGCTTGTATAGATCCAAATGCATGTGGCTTTATTGTTGGTACGGCGGGTACGGTTGGCACTGGAGCCATTGATGATCTACAAGGTTTAGCCAATCTGTGTGCTCGTCGTCCGAATGATCTTTGGTTTCATGTAGATGGTGCTATTGGTGCAGTTGCATGTTGTTCTAAACGTCTTCGCCCATTGTTTACTGGCTTGGAACGAGCCGATTCGATTGCATTCGATCTACACAAATGGTTGTCTGTTCCATACGAATGTGGTTGTATTCTTGTGCGTGATGGGCAATTACATCAATCGACATTTGCTCAACCGGCAGTATCCTATTTGACATTGATGGACGGTGGCTACACACCGAGTAAAGGCGAATATTTTTTTAGTGATTACGGTCTGGAACTTTCACGAAATACAAAAGCTATAAAAGTCTGGATGACATTGAAAACATATGGATTCGAACGATTCGGTCGTATTATGGAACAAAATGTTGATCAAGCATTGTATTTTGCTCGTTTAATTGAACAACATTCGGATCAATTCGAATTATTGGCCAAGGTAACATTAAATATCGTTTGTTTTCGTTATACTGGATGTCAATCGAATACTGTCGATCAACAGGACATGTTGAACAAATTTAATAAACATTTATTGATAACGTTACAAGAACGAGGCATTGCCGTTGTTTCACCACTTGTCATTGGCACGAATACATTTGCTTTAAGAATGTGCATTTCGAATCATCGAACGAGACTCTCCGATATGAACAAATTCATCGAACAAATGATTCAACTCGCTGCTGAACTAATCGATTCGAACGCATTTAACACTCTAAAAAAGATTTAATGGATGTTTCAATGACTCTTTCGAGATGAATAACATTATTGCAAAGAGAAAAAAACTGATTTTTGTGATTTTTAAGTAATTTAGATTGCAAATGTTATTAAAGATTCAAAATATTTCGATCATCTTGATAGTGTTGGTGTAGCGTGTGGCTGTCTCTTCTTTTAACGCAAACTCACACCCACATACTCAATATATTCTCAGATTTTATTTTCGACTTTTTTTTGGTAGAGAAAACTATGAGAAATCATCGGTAAAAAAATACCATACAGAAAACAAAAATTTTAATCATGAGTCATTTTAAATTTATTCAATAGAATCTTTTGTCGTTCTGTTTGATCAAATACAAACCAAGTAAATATATGCTACTCGATTCTTTCATCCGTTATTTCTTTCTTTCTTTAGTTTTTTTTATATGTTGCAAAAAAATACAAATGTAATGTTAATGCTTTAATCCGTAGATCACAAGTATTAAATCGCTCTTTTTTGATCGAATCAGTCGGACTATTTATTTTGTTTCGATTAATATCCTCAATATTCAGCAATTTCTGAAAACTATCAAAACATTAGTTGCAGTTTATCACAGATATTTATTTTATATTGATAGTTTTATTTGACATAACTGATGGTTTTTTTATAAAAAATGTAAGAAAGTTTTGGTTTGATGTGAATGATCATCGTAGAAGAAAAGATTACTTGTTTTTTTCAAATATAAAATCAAATCGAGGCATTTATTGGCTTCTTTCTTTCGTTCTATATTTATTAATCACTGTTCAAACATTTTTTTCTCATATTATGCCTATTACTGGCAAGCTGTGAATAAAATATAATAGAAGTAAAAAGATTACATGAAACAGTTGTTGTACAAACATTGTCATTTGTTAGTCTTCAAAACAAATTCATATTGGAATAAAAAGAATGACTAATATTTGTTGTTTGGTTTCAACTGGAAAAATCCCAGATGAGTTTTACATAAATAATGAATAAAAAATGAGAAATCATTCACTATTCAACAAACTATAAGTTGTCATCACATCTCTACGATTTCATAGTGAGTATCCGATGTGTATAACTATCTCGATATATGTGACGTATTCAACTTTTATGAATCTTTAAGAACTGGAATTTTTCTGATTTTATTATCTACTGTTTGTTCCAGAGGTGATCACAGGGCAGGGTTACCCTGCCCTGCCCTGCACCCT